TCTCCTAGGCCCAGGGCGAATGGATCACACAGGAGATGCCCACCTTCCCAGGAAACACGATCATTTTCAACCTCCCTGCAGAGATCTGAAAAGCTGGAGAAGTGCAAGAGAGCCTAAAAACAAACAAATAAATAAACAAAAACCTTGTGATTCAACACCACCACAGCATTTTTCAGGAATGAGTATAGAGGCTGGTTAGGGTGTGTCTGAAGGAGTAGGAGTAACTGGAGAGTAGTTGGAAGATTAATGAAGCTAAAAGGATAGAAGAACCTGCCAATGTGGGCTGCAAACTCCAAAGAGCAATAGAGCATACCTTCTCCCAATGCCACTCAGCCCCACAGCCTCAAAACAGGGGCCTGGAGAAGCACATGTGACTTCCTAAGTAAACTAGCTCTAGTGTTGAAGAGGAAGTAAGGTCCCAGAGAAAAGCCAGGTGTCAGTTATGGTAAGATATGTAGGACCCTTAGAACAATGCAGAGGTGTAAGTACTTTTCAGAGGTAAGGACTTCAGGGGGCACAGTGAAAGGGTGAGTCGAGGACAGCAAGAGAAAGATGGGGCTTCTATTTCAGGAAGAGATAGCTTATTTGATGCGGATGGGAATTAGGAGGTATGAATTAATTGCTGAACAGGTATAATGACAATATTTCCACCAGGAATTTGCCTCTCCTTGGTTCAGCCAAGAACTGCCACTGGCAATCCCAACCTCCCTTCCTCAGCTCTCCTCTCTTCATATAGAACTTGTCATGACTTGCTCCTTCTGGGGAAATTGTTTTTAATAGTAATAGATAATTCCTTCTCCATGTGGATATAAAATTACTATTTCAGTCTCTGCTTGCAGTATTTAGTAAACACAATATGATGGTGATAGAGATTAATAAGCATATTTTCTTTTGAGAAATTAAAACATTATAAGCATATTTTCTTTTGAGAAATTAAAACGTGAAAATTTATTTTGAAAATTTATATTTCATGCTCCTAAAATGATAACAAAATTTATTTTGTTATCATTTTAGGAGCATGAAAATAGATTGCTAGGTTATGAAATTGTGATTCCTAAAAGGCAATGATGGCTAGAGCTGTGCCCTGTTATGATTCAGGCTCTTTCTACCCTAACAGAATGAATTCAGTTATTTTCAGAGCTTTTATATAGTAATGGCTTGAGAAATCAAAGCAGTGCTGGGACAACCAAGAGCATGCCTTTGAGAGTGTGTGTGTGTGTGTGTGTGTGTGTGTGTGTGTGTGTGTGTGTATGAATGCACACATGCATGCATGCATGTGTGTGTGTTTGTATGTGTTCAAAGTGTGCCACCTTTTATTGGTATAATAAAGCCACATTGCCAAAATATGAGTCAATAAAAAACAGAAATTTATGCTTTGAATAATTTCTTTTACCCTTTTTTCCAGTCAATTATTTCATGCAAAATTACATTCTGGAAGTAAGTAACATAACTTCTCTTATTAATAAAAAATAAAAAACAGCACTGCCTTTTATCTGTCACATTGCTATCTTCTGGTGCAGTCTTCTTAAGGACCCGTGATTATAGATATTTAGATCAAGATCTCTTCCCTGCTGGACTGGAGTTGAACATAAAAATAAAGTGATAACAGACCAAGAAAAAGTCAAAAGCGGGTGTTTTAAGAATGTCTGATATCACCAAGAATAATGAAAATAATATTTTATAAAGACCAACTGTAATTCATATAATCCATCTGTTGCTAGTTGAAAGTTTATGCTCTTTACAAAACTTCAGAAAATATACCACAGCATTTGTATGAGTAATGAGTCATTTGTTGAAACTTATGAAAATTAGAACTTTTATAAATATCAACTAAACCAAAAATATAATTTCTATGTTTTTCAGGACCTTCCTCAATCTGTACTTCTAATAGGTGGATTCACTAAATACATTATGAGTTCCCACTCGTTATGGAGTTTGTTGAATAATTGTAAAATGAAAGTTTAAAAGTGTGATAGACATGTATATAATCATGCATGTCTTCATATATTAAATAACACAAACACGCACACGAACACACACACATGCATACCATTATTAGTTGAGTATTTTCCACAAACCATGAGTCCAGACAGAGGGAAAACCAACTTGACTGTGATGGATAAGAAAAGTATGTATTGGCAAAGGGCCTGGTTTTACTCAGGAAGAGGGGATACCAATTTCCAACCAGAGCTAGGGGGGGGGGGGGGTCTGATGGAGTGTTCAGGTGCAGCCAATTGGAGAGCTCATCTTAGCAAGAAAGACAGGGAGGGTCCTGAGAGGAAATGCCCACCATGTTTGCATACCTCCCTGGGTCTGGAAATTCACTGTTCACACCAAACTGAGAAGTCATCTACAAGCATTTCCCAAATTTGGGACGACTTAGCTTCAAAGAAAATAAAGTAAATAATTAAAACAGCAACTGTAACTCTAGAAATATAAAGATGTGTATAAGTAAGAAAAGGTAATCATAGAGTATCACTTGGCTCATTTGTACACAATATTTACATAGTCACAAGGAAAACACAGAAAATGGATTTTGAGGGTGGGGGGGGAAGCATGAGATACTTAATTAGGGAGAATAAAGCGGGGGAAGTAGTATGTGTAAGTGAGCTAAGTCTTATCTACCAAAATAGGAAGTCAGTAGATAATACTTAAAATCAATAAAGCAAGATGTATTATATAAAAATAGAGAGAAGTCAGGAGTTGACAGTATGAATAGAGAAATGGAGAAATGACCAGTACTTCATTTTGTATAAAATTATGTATCTACTAGAGGCCCCATGCATGAAATTCGTGCAAGGGGTTCAGCCCTCAGAGCCACATAGCTGCCTCTGCCTTGGCCCTCGAACCCCTGGCTTAGTTCAGGTCATCCAGAAGGACATCCAGATGTTTGTTTGGTTGTCCAGTCTAATTAGCATATTATGCTTTTATTATTATAGATATATATATAAAAAGCTAATATGCAAAGTGTCCCTTTGGAAGTTCAACTGGAGCTCAATTTTGCTATGATGTGTGCTGACCACCAGGGGGCAGCGTGGAATGAAGGAAGGCCCCTATCAGTCATGTTCACTGTCCAGGCCTAGAGACCCTACTCATGCATGAATTTCATGCACCAGGCCTCTAGTATATATACATGCTTATATATGCACATATTATCATGATCTAATTTTTAAAATGTTCTTTAAAAGAAGCCTTTTCTGAACCTCTCCATTCTCCAAGCTTGAGCCCCCTATATTCTAACTGTATGTAATAGATTCCAAATATCTGCCCCCCTTCCCATACTGGAAGGACTGTGGGAAAGGGCGGATGAATGCAATTACTGGGACAGACCTGATGAATAATTGGAATTGGGGCATAATTCTAGGAATAAGGACCAACAATGATAATATTGCTAATGTAATAATAATAATAATGCTAATAATAATTACTGCATATCTGGAAACCTGACGACCTTCATTCCTATAACCTGGATGTTACCAAGGCATGGTCATTTTTACCTATGGAATGCCTACAGATTTGTCCCTTACATTCCACTTACTATGCTAACCTTCTAAGCAGACCCTCCTCTTTATGCTTAAGTTACTGACAGAAACAAGTCTTTTGTGCCTCCGTCTGTCTTAACTCTACCTCAGCCTTTCAAAAAAAACCCTGTATCACCCCAAAACAGCTCTGTATCATCATTAGTGAAAACTTTACAATATTCTGCTCTGTCATATTCTGCTTTTGTCGTCACACTTTACCCTCTGGAGCCCAAGGTTCTCTTCCTGATCTTCCAGCTCCTCCAGAACCTGGTCTCACTGGCCCATCCCACATTACTTCCCACAGCTCCCCAGACTCACCATCCCACTTATTATACCTCCCCAGACCTCACCATCCTCATTATTACATCACACTCAGCCCTACCTCCTGTCTTTTATTACTTCAGACTCCCTTTCCCCAAAAAGACCAAAGCATATTCATGGCATGAGAATATAATGTTTCTTTTGAGATATCTACAAAGAAAATCATCTTCATTTATTTAATCAATAATTTGTTGCAATCTCTTCTACTTTTCTACTGTAGAAACAACCTCTTCATATTAAAATTGTTCCTAAATAAAACTTGCCTTAAGAAATAATATTTTATTTTATTTTTCAATGAATATAGTTTTTGATTTTATGGATTAATAAAATGAACATATGTAAACTGTGCTTCTGAACAAGTAATGGAAGAGGCTGCTATTTTAAAAGCAGCACAATTATAAATACTGCTTTTGTTTTCATTTCAAAAATTATTTTTCCTGCTTTTCTTCTGCAGTTTTAATTTCTTACTAAATGATTGTTTTCTCCTTTTCTTTAACTCAGTCAGATCATTTAAAGAATTAATTTGATGAAGTATTGAGGGGTCTAATTGTTTAATAGGCAGAAATTAGCCCCTGCCAAGAGCACTTTAAAAACTGGCATATACCAGGCGTAATTACAAATTCTTTAGAAGAATCTATTTCTATACAATAGCTTAATTAGTTATTAGTAGACAGCACTGGCCACAATTTAAACCCAGCTTTTAATTTCACCCAGGCTTTTTATTTTATTTTTTTTCCAAGCAAATGTAAGTGACTAATTGGGCTCAAATTAGTCCCTTTCAAGGAGCAATTGGCTACTTATCCCTGATTTTCAAGATTTAAGTGGTCTTATGCACTGGCAATTAGCTTCCCACTGGCATCCTGCCTACAGATCCAAAGTTCTTTCCCAGAGTTGTCAAAGCCTTGTCTCACGATGGGCAACCTGTAGTCAGATGACCAGTGGATACTTTAGATTATGTTCATTTCTTTGGAGAAATCATGGCAGTTCTTAAGAAAATTGAAGCCAAAACAGTGATATATTTACCTAAGGGGGAAAATTGGTATGGGAAAATTGGTTGACCCAGATAATTGCCTCAATTCTCTAGAATCTAGACTTTTCCAAAATGGCCTGTTCATTTATGTGATTATAAAAATTACTTATTTTTCCCCTCTACTTTAGTGGTGCAACCTATGCATTGACTTGGTGGCATTTACCAGTGAAATATTCAAGGGAGCAGTTTTCCAGTCATTGGATGGAATTATTGTCTCAGCTAACTGTAAGCTGCGGAAGATCTTCACTTTAAAATCCAAACCTCAAGACACTGCTGATAAAGATGGTATGTTCAAATTGCTATCTAGATTTTTAAATTCTCCAATATGCTTCTAACATTAGACATGTTTTTGGAGACTATGAGCCCCTGATAGCAGTTTTTAAATTTTATTTTATTGTGGAAAGAATACTTAACATGAGACCTATCATTTTAATAAAGTTTAAGTATACAGTATATAATTGTTGACTACGGGTACAATGTTGTACAGCATACCTGTAAAGCTTATTCATCTCCCCTGAAACTCTATGCTCATCTTATATAATAAAAGGCTAATATGCAAATCAACCGAATGGCAGAATGACTGGTTGCTCTGATGCACACTGACCACCAGAGGGCAGATGTTCAACGCAGGAGCTGCCCCCTGGTGGTCAGTGTGCTTCCACAGGGGAAGTGCTACTCAGTCAGAAGCCCTGAGCAAGGCTCAAGTCTGGCAAGCATAGTGGTGGTGGCAGGAGCCTCTCCTGCCTCCACAGCAGGCAGACATCCCTCAGGGGCTCCGAGACTGCCAGAGGGCCCAAGCCAACCTGAGGGACTCTCCCAAGTGCACAACTTTTCATGCACTGGGCCTCTAATTGATTAATAACTCCCAACTTCCTCCTCCTCCAACCCTGGCAACTCTTTGATTCCATGACTTAGGCTATTTTAGATATCTCATATAAGTTGAATTATATAGTAACTGTTTCTCTGCAATTGGTTTAGTTCACTTAGCATAAGTTTTCATGGTTCATCCATGTTGTAGCATATGGTATTCTTTACTTTGGATCACATGTTTATTTTTATAAACTTGTACCATTTTAAACTCACTCAAGCTAGAAAGTGCTGCCTAATCCTTTGTTGTTCTGTTTATACAGTGGATATAATAGAAAGTGAATTACTGAAGCCTTAAAATAGCAATTAACTAATTTTTCACTTTCCTAGAAGAATGACTTATGCTAGGCAACTACTAGTAAAGCAGCTGATTTAACTTAGTTTATTACTTTTACGGCTCCTGAGGGGGCATGGGGTGGCATTTTTAGGTACTTGCTGAATTAATAACTAACTTGTATTGTTCTGCATTTAAAAAAAAATAGAATATGTGTAGATAGGTAAGAGAAAGAGGAAAGAAAAGAGAAGACTGGAAAGAACAAGTGATTGTCTATTAAAAATAGATGTACACTATGCAATGATGACTTTACAGGTCTTCTGACTCCCCAATTTAGTATTTTTTCTAAAGTATCAATACTGGGAAATGTGCATTCTGTGTTTAGAGATGCAAAAAGTGAATACTTTTATCTCTCCCACATAAACTGACATCAGTAACCTGTCATAAATGTTTGATGAATTAATGAAGTGGGGTTGGCTAATTGTTTGTTCACTCAATTATTCATTTACTGTCTACATTCAATAAATTTTTATTGAGTGTCAAGCAATGTGAAGAAAATTATCTCTTCAAAGGCCACAGAAAAACCTAGAATCACTGATGTCTTGCATTAACAGACTCAATGAGAAGAGAAGGGCCTTCGCGGTCATCTAATCCAATGTCTTAATTATACATGGGAGGAAAACCAAGCCCATTAGTTATGAGGCATCTTGTGTTGTTGAGGTCACAAAGGTGGAACTTGAGGCCAAGTGTCTGACTAACTTTTCCTTCCCCACAGTGCACAGTTTACTTTTCTTAATAACTAGAATGGTTTAGTGTTTTTAATAATTAAGATTGTTGAGTATTTTCCTACCTCTCTATTATCTCCAGGTCAGGTGAATGAACATCAGACCCAATCTCATCAGTTTAAAGCTTCATTCCCACTCCTTCCTATTTGGGAACTGAACTCAAAATATCCTTGCCTAACAAACTACTGTAGGACAAGAAAGGGGATAAAATATTAGCATTTCAGAGGTGCCCAGCAGCCAGTAATAGGTCCCACAAATATGGGTCATGAATATCTGTATATCCAGACACAATTATTCAATTAAAATATCAATTTTATAATTAAATATTATAAAATATTTATGATAGAACTTCACATCTCAAAAACTCTAAGGATAACAGTTCTATTTATAGCAGCTCCAAAATAACTAAATACCGAGGAATAAATTTAACCAAGAGGGTGAAAAACTTCACTGAAAACTATAAAACATTGCTAAAATAAAATAAAGATAATGCATATAAATGGAAAGACATATGTCCATGGATTGCAAGGCAATTTTGTGAAGATGTCAGTATTACACAGAGAGATCTAAAGATTCAATACAATCTCCCTCAAAATTTCAGTGGCCTTTTTTGCAGAAATGGAAAAGCTGATCTTAAAATTCATAAGGAATTTCGAAGGGACTCAAATTGAAAAAGAATAGCAAAGTTGTAGCATTTATACTTTCAAATTTCAAAATTTACCTGAGAGTTACAGTAATCAAAACAGTATAACACAATTAGGATAGACATATAGACCAGTGGGATAGAACTGAGCCCAGAAATGAACCCATACATCTGATTTTGTTAAGGATGCCAAGAACATTCAATGGGGAGAAAACAGCCTCTTCAACAGTGGTTCTGGGACAATTGAACAACCATATGCAAAGAATGAGGCTGGACCTCTACTTCACACCCTATGTAAAAATTAACTCAAAATGCATCAGTGACCTAAATACAAGAGTGGGCAAAAGTAGGTCTACAGGTGTAATTCAAATAATACAATAGTAATCAAGAATAATACAAGAATAAACTCTGTTTCATGTACTCACATCTACTTTTGCCTCCCCTCTCCCTCTAGAAGTAATAGGGAAAAAATTGAGCTAAATCTTAAGTATCTTCAATTTGGCCTAGGATTTCTAAATATGACTGACACCAAAAGCACAGCAACAAATATTTTTAAATAGATAAATTGGACTTTAAAAGTTAAACTTTAGTATATAAAGGAGATTATCAAATTGAAAAGCCTACAAAGTGGGAGAAAAATATTTGTAAGATATGATATATATTCTGATTCTACATATAGGGAACGTATATTCTGATGTAATCTGGTATCTGGAATATGTAACTGACTCATAATACAACAAAAAGATATACAACCCAATTAAAAAATGGTCAAAGGACTTGAATAAACATTTTTCCAAATGGATGACAAACATGAAAAGATGCTTAACATCATAGTCATTAAGGAAATTAAATTAAAACTACAATGAGACACCTCTTTATACTCACTGAGATGATTATAATGATTTTTACTAAGTGAGATGATTATAATGATTTTTAATGGAAAGTAAGTGTTGGCAAGGGTGTGGAGAAACTGGAACCCTTGCACATCGCTAAAGGGAATACATAATGGTTCACTTGCTGTGAAAACAGTTGCTGTAGTTTCTAAAAAACAAAAGCATAGATTACTATATGACCCTGCAATTCCACTACTAAAAAGGAGGGTAGACAGATACATGTACATATATGTTAATAGTAGCATTATTCATAGTCGCCAGAATGTGGAAACAGCCCAAATGTTTATTAAGCAATGATTGGATAAACAAAATGTGGTATGTGGTATACATGCAGACACCAAATATCCAGAGTAGATAAATATGTAGAGATAGAATTCAGATTTGTAGTTGTCAGGGACTGAGGGCTGGAGGGCATGGCAGTAGCTGATTAATGGGTGTAGGATTTTACTTTGGAACTATGGAAATATTTTGGAGGTATATAGAGGTAGTGGTTGCTCACCATTGTGAGTTTGCTAAATGCCACTGGATCATTCACTTTAAAATGCTTACTTTTATGTGAATGTGAATTTCTCCTCAATAAATTAGTTCTTTAAAAATTCAAAGGGATTTATTCAGGATAGCTAAGTTTTGGTTATATTCCAGGTTTATTTATCTCTATAAATATCAAGACCTTCCTAATATATAAAAACCATGGGTCGTAATGACTGGTAATGACTGAGGCTCAACCAACTGGAAGTCAGTCCTGCAGTCAGTGCTGGGTTGCTTCTGCTGCAGGCCCAGTGCCACAGCACTGCCTGCTGAGGGGGCTGAGAATCAGGGCAAGAGAGAGGCCTGAAGAGAGAAGCAGGGACTGATCTTTTGCCTCTGTGGCAGCTTTTGATCAGCACTTGCCTCTCTCTTTCTCCCCAGTCTGGCCAGCAACCATACCTCCATTTCTCTCCAGGCCTCCACCAGGGGTGCAGATCAGCCCTGTCTTACTGATCAGGCCTCACTGATAGGCCCAGAGATGCTGATTGGCATAGAAACCTACCAATCAGAATCAAATCTGGGTGAAGGGTGAGGAACCAATGGCTGTCTAGGAGGCAGAGTTTTTGACGCTGACTGGCATAGAAACTGACCAATCAGAACCAAATTGGCCAGCAGAGGATGACAGTTGGGGGCAAGATCAGGCTGGCAGGAGAGGGGTCTTTGGGGGCTAGATTAGACCAGCAGGGGAAAGCAGTTAGGGGCAATTAGGCAGGCAGGCAGGCAGAGACATTTAGGGGTGATATGGCAGGCAGGCAGGTGAGCGGTTAGGAGTCAGTGTTCCCAGATTGTGAGGGGGATGTCCGATTGGAGAGGGTGCAGGCTGGGCTGAGGGAACCTCCTCCTTCGTGCATGAATGTCATGCACCAGACCACCTGTTTATTATAAAAAACACATTCTTGTGTTGATTTGTGTCAATATTGTAATGAAAAATTTTACACAAGTATTTGTCTGTTATCCTATATAATAAAGAGTAATATACTAATTAGACCAAACAGCAGAATGTCTATCCAGACAACCTTCCAGACAAAGCTGAGGCTGTGAGAGCCGGCTGAGACTATGAGGGGCTGTGAGGGCTGAGCCCCTTGCACAAATTTTTGGATCAGGCCTGTAGTTAATAATAACACTTATGTGACACTTTTTATGTAACAGGGACTATTATTAGCCCCTTATATTCATTAACACATTTAATCATCACAATAACCATATAAGGTATTTGTATATCCATGTTTTAGAGATAAGGAGAGTAGGACACAACAAGATAAACTACTCTGCCAAAGCCACATGGCTAATAAGTGGTGGAGTTAGAATGTGAACCCAGGGCCCCTTGCTCCTGTTACTGTTAACCCCTATAGTATACTGCATAATAATACCTTTCTCAGTATACAGTAAACTTCATAAAGGCTGGGATTTGAATCCATACCAGGCCTAGAGAAAAATCTAACAGTTATTTGGCAAGTGAATGAATGAACAAACAAAAAGTAAACTGACTTTGTATCAATATTTTCATAGATTAAGTGTTTATAACCCCTAAAATCCATATGTTGACACTTAATCCCCAAAGTGACAATATTTGGAGGAGGGCCTTTTGTCAGTGATTAGCTCATGGGGGTAGAGTAATACCCTTATCAATGAGGCCCCAGAGCTCCCTCACGCCATCTGCCATGTGAAGGTATAGCAAGAAGATGGTCATCTCTGAATCAGGAATAGGACACTCCCCAGACACCAATCTGCTGGTGCCTTGATCTTGGACTTCTCAGTCTATGCAGGCTAAGAAATTAACTTCTGTGAGGAATTAATTTCTGTTGCTTGTAAGCCACTCAGCCTACCATATTCTGATATAACAGGCCCAACAAACTAACACAAATATTTTGGCAGAGACTTTTGTGTTTTCTGCTTGTCTCTCCCTGGTGTTTTAGAGAGGTGAGATTTTATATAAATAAGGCACTGTGCTAGCCACTGCAGGTTATCCCCATATTAATAAGAGTATGGGACCAGTAAACTACTATAAAATTAGTCCTTACTTAAACTATATGAATTAAGAGAAACCATGACCAAAACAGATTTATAAATTTCCTTATTTTACAAGGGAGATGATTTTTAATGTATAAAGTACTTTATGTACGTATTAATATTGATGACTTAATTTTTAAAGCTAGTTAAGATACTTGTCAAAGTTATTAAACACCTACAGAACGGTTCATTTTCTAGTGACTTTATGGCAAACAAGGTTACAAGTTCACTCAAACATCCTAATGATACATTGACTTATACTGGGAGCAAAGACATAGAAAATAAATAAAAATAAAGACACCATCTGGTTGTGTTTGGATACTGCATGAGCAAATCTGGCAGCTTTCTCATAGTCTTCCCTTTCATGTACCATTTTGTCGTTCTGAGCTGACCATTCCAGCCAACGTTATGTTCTTTCAGATTTGTTAAAATCTAAAGTATTTTGACAAAACAGTTTAAACTCAACTATGTCATTTTTCAGACATTAATCAAGCAGTCTGGAAACAAAATCTATTCCAGAAGATAGAACTTGTCTGGAGGAACAATGCAGGCAGGCCCTGGCCCCATAGTATCTGATTGCCAGCCTGATTTGTTATTTGCTATGTCAGGAGAAAGTTGTGATAGCCAAATGAAATGTGTATGGAGTACTGCTTCTCAGGATGTAGCTGGACAAAGAACAACCAAAGAGGGCTTGGCAGCTGTGTTTCATCTGGGTCAGCTGTTATTAAGGTCTTTTGTCCATGACCACTTATTGAGCATCCTCTTTGAACCAGATGCAGCACTAAATATACAGTGGGATTATCCCTCCATTCTCTTCCATGCTGGCAGCACTTTGACAGAATCGTCTTTCTTTTATTTCCTAGAATGCATCAGAGTCCTTTTGCCTTCAGTCTTCAAAGGCTCTGTTCCCTTTATCTGAATGCCACCCCATTTCACCAGGCCATTTTCTATTTATCCTTTGACTCAGGTTAAATGTCTCTTTATCAGAGATGTTCAGTGACATGCTATATTGGTAGAATTCCTATTACGTCTTTCATAACACCTTGAACTTTTCCTTCAGAGCACTTAACAGAACTATAATTAAATATTTATTTACCTATAATTAGTTTCCTATTCTCTGCTAGGTGTAAACTTCAAGAAAGCCAAGACAGAATCACTCTAAGTCACCATTAGATTCCCAGCCACTACATGAGTGTTTGACACAGAATAGAGGCTCAATAAGTGTTTGTTGAATGAGTAAATGAATGGATGCAAACAGTCCATGTCCTCTATTTATTCACAATATAGCACTGTTTCATTTCTATTGCATTATCTGTATTCTTTTTCAGAATTCTTATTTTTAAATTAAGCTATAAATGCTAAAAAATAAATAAAATGACCTAGGAATTGAACTTGGTGGGGGTGGTTAGTAGTGAGGTGGGTGGTGGGGAGATGAGTTAATATCCACTTAGATTTATCAGAACATCCAAACACCAGGGCATAGTGTGGTTTCACAAAAATGAAACTAAAATCTCTTTCCATGTATTGTCTACAAAGTCTCAAAGAAAGTTTGAGAGTTACTAGTTGCTAAATTAAATGGTCTTAATGATTAGGCTTTATATTAAATTAATAAGCCAATAGTTTTTTATCTCTCTTTTTATTGAAGGTTTTATACTGCCAAGAGTTTTTATCAAATAATAATCCAATAAGTAGTGAAACAGTTCTGGGTACAAAGATAGAATAGATATATAGAAAGAGAATGTGACACAGAGGGGATTTGAGCCTTTTAATGTGAAATCTGATTTGCATGTCAACCATGTTCCTGTAAGATTCAGATTGCCTGTATTAATGTTAGTGTTTACACTCTATGTGATGGTTTTTGAGGGATAATTGGTTGAATTTTTCTTACTACTCACATTCACATATTTACAAACAATTTTTTGCATTATATTCTAAGATTTATATAAAGAAGAAAATAAAAATTATACTTAAACTAACCATCAAATGTCATGCACCGGGCCTCTAGTATTAATTATAATATCTTTTCCTTTGAAAATATTCAAAGATAAGATGTTAACATTAGGGGAAGCTGAGTAATGGGCATAGAGGAACTCTGTACTGTTTTAATAACTTTTCTATAGATCTAAAATTATTTCAATATAAAAAGTAAAAATTTTAATTTGTTCATAAATAGCTATAGTGTTTATTCAGTAACATCATTGAATTTACTGATCTCGTAGAAATGAGCCAGTGAAAATCCCAGAAACTTTCAATGAAGTATACCTAAGTAGCTCTTCTCTCAAGGTACATTCTAGTATTAAAAATAAATGTAAGCTATTTCCAGTGAATGCTCTTTCTTATTGCACAAGTCTCTGAACCTATTCCATATGTTATATACTCTCTCATTTAATCCTTGTACAGGCTTACAAAATAAGCAATAAAATTATCAGGCTCATTTTACAGATGAGAAAGCCAAGGATATAAGGTTGAGCAGTGCATCCAAAATCATACTCTAAAATGATTTCCTTTAATTGGTTTCATTTATAAGATCTGTCCATTTGGCAGAAATGGCTTACCTTTGGGGATTGAATGTTTGTCTTTATTTCCAGCTGGATATGGTGTACCTTTTCCAACAGATGAGCCTACAGACATTATTCCACGGAGCTGCCAACTAACGACAGATGTTCCACAAGTCACACAGCTGCTAAACATGACCAAACTCCGCCAAACTATAATAAAACTCGGAGGTCACCCTCTAAGCTCAGCAGAATCTGGTATGCACATAGGCACCTAAATTACAAGCATAATTATTTGTAAGACCAAAAGAAAAGGGGGAAAACAACCTTGCAATTAATCTTTGTAGCTTGAAGTTAAATACTACACTTCAGCATTGACTCATGTCAGTGAAATATTATTCTAAATTTCTTTTTAGCAACTAAAATTTTCCTGGATTTTTTTACATAATAAATCAAAACATCCTCAATTATTCTTCTCCTTTTCCTACATGCTGCCATTTATACCTCCCAAACATCTCTTAAATCTGTCCATTCTGTCTTGTTTTTCATTCATTCATCTTAGCCTCCCAGATAATCTCCACATTGCTGTAAGAACTCTCTTTCTGATAATAGAAATATGATCCTGTCACTCTAATTAAAGACTTTTTAAATTAAATGCCTATCCAGCTATCTTAGAAAGCAATGTGAAAAGACCCTTGGGAATGCACACAAAGCCAGCCTCCCCTGTTCCAAACCTGCAGCAGTTTTCTTTCCGGGCACCTTTCTCTCACTCCTGCTCACTCTGTGGGCTTTCATGTGTTCATATTTGGATATTGCTGTTTTGTTGGTCTAAAATGGCTTCAAAGCTTGCCTTTCTGCTTGGAAAAATTCGCCATTTTTCTTTCTAGACCAGTGGCTCCCAACCTTTTTTGGCCATGCCCCACCTAAGCATCTCTAAAATCCTTATGTCCCCCGTGACATATAATTCTTATATTTCAAAAAGTTAACTCCTATTTGCATGGAAGAAGTCTACAAGGCCATTAACTTGGTCTTAACAAGCTTCCAGAAAACATGGCATCCATGAAAGAGAAAAATAAAAGAATGAAAAGATAGTTGAAGTAATGAGGAAGAAATCACTAAGGCATTGTTAAAAAATAATAATATGAAATGATATGAAAAAATAGCAAATAAAGTTTCAAAACATATAACAAAGAACTGAAATGCATAAATATGTCACAATATGTATTTATATATTTCTATACTATATATGAGGCCCCTAGAACTATAAGAAATACAAAATATTCACTGTTAATAACTTATTCTTGAATTGACCCCTTAAAAATCAAACTGCCCCTCTGTGGGGTATGTGCCCCATGTTGGGAACCACTGTACTAGACCCAACTCAAAGGCCGCCTCTTCTATGCAGCCTTTCCTAACTCTAACAAGCATTGTTCTCTTCCATGACTTTCCCCTTTTCCTTTTCCTTTCTTTTTTTTTCTTTAATATATTTTTATTGATTTTACACAGAGAGGAATTGAGAGGGATAGAGAGTTAGAAACATCGATGAGAGAGAAACATCGACCAGCTGCCTCTTGCACACCCCCCACTGGGGATGTGCCCGCAACCAAGGTACGTGCCCTTGACAGGAATTGAACCCGGGACCTTTCAGTCCGCAGGCCGACGCTCTATCCATTGAGCCAAACTGTTTCAGCCTTTTCCTTTCTTTTTTTGCAGTACTTTTTCATATGTCTGCATTCCCCAATAAAATATGACTTCCTCATTCTTCTATTTTCCTGGCTTCTAACACAGGGCTTGCAGATTAGCCCCAGCCAGGCGCTGCAGACTCAAATTACAAAAGAGGCCAGCCAGAAAACATAAACAAATAGTGACCTGGATGTCTGGATATTTGACACATAGAAATATTTTCTACTTCAATAGTGAGCCTTATTGGGAGTGGAGGGAATTAGAGAAGAGGGTTGAGCTAGTGCATCAAAGGTGTGGTTCTCTACTATGAAAGCAGTTACATTAACTACTATGCAAATGATCCAGTCGGTGGGGAATAACACTCAACCCCTTTAAGGGAGCTGTAGAGAGAGGTGAGGGCTGCAGCAAACTAGAAGCTCATTGTTGCTGGAGAAGGGGAAAGTGCAGTTCAGTTCTGGTCAAGGGCTGCCTTGCTGGAATGCAAGCCCAGTCTCACAGTTCTTCCTTTTGTCCCCCAAGAATGGTATCCTGATGTTTATGAGAAATCTCCCAATTCTAAAATATTGTCAACAGTCTAAATTTTTTGTAAGCCTAACAAAACATGCCAGTGCATGCCAGTTCTCTGCTCCTGCAATAGTCACCATAGCTATTGACCAAATGAATGAATAATGTTCTACAAATCAAGTAGCCTAATATTATTTCGATGAGTTGTTGTCAACCTCCTGTATTTTAGAATCACCTGAGATATTTTAAAAATAACTGATACAAAAAATTATTATAATGTCTATGCTTCATTCCAAGAGATTCTGATTTAATTGGCCTGGGATGAATTTTTTTATGCTCTCCCACCAATTCTAATGCTCAGGGTTGAGAACCATTGGGTCACTTATCCCCACAAAGGTCCTATGGTTTAAATGACACTCATAAACACTGTAGTGATTCAGAGAGGATGAAATGGTCCTAATAGGCACTTGTGGAGGAAGTAGATTTTGGAAGTATTCAGTAAATTATTGTATAGGTGTTTATAATGAATAAATAAATATAAGATTTATGGATGTGAGAGATGGTACAGCACACTTCATGGTGGAGTTTCCTGAGGGATTGCTAGGAGGAATAGCTTGAGTGGGCAGAACGGCTGTGTTGGGAACAAGAGGAGTGTGCCTCATGTTCCTAAAGAGGAGAAATGATAACTTATTTTTAGGAAGTTGAAGTTGATGTCAGAATTCAATATGAATTTGTAAGTCAAGTGAGACCAGAGATTAAGGATTACAATTAAAATTGCAGCAAGTGTCTGTGAAAGTGGGACATAATAACCCTGAGAGGAACTGCAGGGAAAAACTGGCAGGGCTTTGTGATTCTCAGAAAGCAGAGGGGGAAGGGAGAGTGGCCAAAGTTTGAGAGGTCAGCATAGAAATAGGAAAAGGAGATACCCAGGATGACGTGAATGAGCTGCAAAATTGACTCAGTTTTACATTTATCCTATGTTCATTTAGTCTGGTGAATTTCTAATATATCGTCAGCACTACATGTCCTAAATGATATATTCCTAAAGAATTGGGATTGATGTTATAATTTTTTCAGTGTAAACCCTGGCAGAAGACCATGTGTAAATAGGCACTACATTGTTAAGCCCTTTACTATTATATTACTGATGTACAGAACAGTAGAGAGAATATATAATGGACCCCCATATCTTCATTACCTGTTTCCACAATACCAACTTTGGGCCGAATTTTTTATAACAATGAAGGAATAAGTAGTGAGAATTTGTACATTTATTATATGCACTATCTTTAGATTGGTTGGAGAGAAAGATATATACAATCCATTTTCATTACATGACATTTAGAAAAGATATAAAAGGATGAAAAAGATCCCACTACCCAGACAACCACTTTAAACACATTGAGTTAAAATTCAATCTTAATGGAAGATTTGCCACAGAATGAAATGACTAGGACTATTTTCTATAAGCAAACACACTATGTGTATCTAATAGGCAATGATAGTTTTCAGTAATAGAAATGATTAAGCTGTAAAGCCTATCAGATAATTCTATGCGATTGTAAATGCTATTTGTCTTCTCTGTATCTCAATGTTTTAAGAATTAATTATGTCTTTAAAAGAGAATGTAAATCTATAACCAAATATTTTAAGTGTCTTTTTTAGTTACAGTTCAAGGATACATGATGCCTGAGATTAAAAAGGAATTTGAATAAATATTAATTGCATCATTAAATAAAAATTAAACAGAAACTTTTTCATATGCCATATTTGATCCCAACTTGTAGAAGATGTTAGTTCATATTTTGAAATCTTCATAAATGGGCTCTCAATGCATAATTTGAGTTATATATACAAAATAATAGCATATTTCTTCTGTCCTGTGAATCCCAATTATACTTAATATTTATTTATAATCATAGAGATCATTACTATTTCTCTTAAGTAAATCTCGTTGCACTTGTATGACAGTTAAGATTACATGAACATATATTGAACTTTGTGGCTCTCTTTCTACATATAATTTTTTTAATGGTTCTAAAGATGCTTAAGGAACTTACTGCAAATTACGATAGCATACAAAGGGAAATAGAGGCCATGAACCTATAAATAATTTTCAATTGCTAATTTTGACATGGGTGGGCTTTGAAATTAGATGAATTAATAATAATTTTGTTCTCTGTGTAACATATTTTATCTGAGAGATGTAGCTCATGAATAGTGCCTAAGGACAGACTTTTTAATCACATAAAAACCAGGAGATATTTCTTTATATGAACTATGTATTTTTGTGTCTTTCTAAAAAAAAATGGACTTCCCCTGCTGAGATTTGAATTGCATGAGAACTGACTGTGTTTTTGTAATTGACTATGCAATACTTGTGTAAATTATATTTTATTATAAATGCACATATTGAGAGATCCCTTATGAAACTGCTGCAGGAAGAAGTAGGGGTTTCCTATAGATGCTCTCCAGCATGTTTACCTAAGCAAAAAAGGAAACATTGAGCCCAGCCTTGCCACTGTGGCTCAGTGGTTGAGCATCAACCTCAGAGCCAGGATTTCACAGTTTGATTCCTGGTCAGGGCTCTACCCTCAGGAGGGGGTATCCAGGAAGCAGCCAATCAATGATTCTCATTATTAATGTTGCTTTCTCTCTCTCTCTCTCTCTCTCTCTCTCTCTTTCTCTCTCTAAAATCAATATAAATTTTTTTAAAGAAACATTGAAACTTCTGTTTTAGAGTGCTTTTTATTTAATATTTTATAACTTAATCAAAAGAATTTAACAAAATTAATAATTGTATTTCCATAAAGCCAGTGTTACCACGCATTTGTATTGTGCACTTGTTCCCTTTGTCAATTCCATTCCTGGTACACATTAGCTAGTGAGTGTTAGTCGGCAGAAGACTGTGAGACCTGATTATCTTATTTTCATTAATGGGACCCCAGTTTCATTGAACCAGAGAATCAGGTCTGATTATTGAAGTTGATCATTCAGTTACTAATGACAAGATGTGATAGTCCACTAAGCACAAATCAAAATTCATAATTTACTTAAAAATTAGGAGGCAG